ACGTCAAGCAACGATCAACTTCATCTCTCATCAGCTAAACGCCGAGAAAATTGACTCCCTTGTTTGTGCGACTTGAAAAGTTACTAATAGCTTCAAAATTAAATGGTTAAAATATCTCCATAAATATTCAATTTTGTTTATTTTTATGAAAATTAGCTTATATATAATTTATAAATATTTTAATATTTATTGCGACGTCATAAATGTTTCGCAATCACAATACGGTTCCTTCCATTTATACCCTCATAATTGTCAACTTTTTTTTGTTAGGAAATAAATAATTATTAACATTTTTATATCAACATATTCGCCTACTTTTTTAAATTTTACTTAAAAAAATGTTCAAATTCTACAATTATAATTTTAAAGCCCGAACAAAAATAAATAAATAAATAATAATAATAATAATATTCACAAATTATATATTTCATATAACATCCATGCCAAATATTCGAACCATAATTTGAAATTTGATCTGCAACATGAACACGTTTTTTAAAAAGTTGTCCAATATAAAAATATTTAAAATTAAACATTTTTAAATTTTAAATTTGTATTTATATGATTGAGCCATCGAAAAATGTATTTTTAAAATATTTGTTTAAAAATTAAAATATTTTGTTTTAATGTAAAAAGAGAAATAGAAAAATGGCTGGTAATTTAAAAACATTCTATATTACTAATATCAAATCATTTGAACCAATAAACTATACTTCTTATAGCCTTTATTCCATTTGGAATATTATATATGAATTATTGTTCAAATTTATGCTTATAAAAATGCAATTGGCACTTCTACAGCCATCACATGTAAACATTAAATTATGTATTTTTATAATAATGATCAACTTTACTTAAAATGGTCACATAAATTTACCGATTTAAATATAATTTAATAAAAAAAATATTAATAAATATGGATAATATGGATAATATAATTTCCCACGCAATTGACTTCTTAAAATAATAATAAGTAAATCTATATATTTTATTGTAATTATAATAAAACTATAAATGTTCGATTAAAAGTCAAAACTATCTAAAATGGCAACCCTAAATAATAGGTTTATATATTTAAATTGGCAGCCGTCCGTTGGCTGCTAGATTTTTCAGAAATGTGTATTTTTTTATTTATTTTTACTTTTACAGAAATATTGGTCGGGCGGCTATATGGCCTTGTTTTGTTGAATTTTCTTTTTACAAATGTATATAAAATAAAATAATAAAATAACAATGAATTAAATTGAAACAGTGACGTATTTCGATATATATTGTCGGCAGTTTTTTTTGCTAACCTGTCATCTATTTATTAGTTATTATTATGCAAAAAAAAAAAAAAAAAAGTGTTATTTTCTTCACATGCTTTATCATTGATTATTTCTATTTTTTTTATCTTAAAATATTTATAAAAAACAAAGATAATATTGTAATTATTGAAAAATAAATTTCTTTTATATAGTGTAACATATTATTTACTTTATTTTTAAAATAATAGTATTTCGTTGAATCTTGAGGTAGGTGACACGTGGAGACAAAGAAAATATTAGAAGCGAGATTAAAGGATTGGGTTAGTTGGTCTCTTTATCCTTTTACAAAAGTTAAAGAAATGGCGGTGTTAAAATTTAGATTAAGCATTAAAATATTAATTACCAAATATATATATATATATATTAGTTTCTTCTCTAATAAATAATTGGGAATGAGATTGAAATATGTATTTAATTTACTAAATTTAAAATTAACTAGATGTAATAAATTCTTAAGTTTTTAATTTTTTTGGATAAATAAATTATTCACCTATTTAATATTATTAAAATTCAGACTTTATTCAATAATTTCATGTCTAATATATTAATTAGTAAATACAAATTTCAAATATATCAAACATATTTAACACAAAAAGTTCCAAAGATTCATCAATTATTTTTTAAAATAAATAGATATTCTAGAAACAAATTAAAAGTTTAAAGAGTTATTAGATATTTTTTAAATTTTATAAACCTTTTAAACTAAATTTATAATATAACTGGTTTTTTTTTATAAATTATGCTATAATATTAAAATTTAAATTTTTAAGAAATTATAAATATTTTATTTCATTTTTGTGTATAAAATATTATTATTATATATATTTTTTTAAATAGCTATATTTTAAATTATTGGTTTAGAATTTTTTTTAGGGCAGCAAAATTATATTAAAGAATTCACTAAGATGGAAAAATAGAAACAGTTGGCGGGAATGAAGAGGTTGAAGCCCTTTCGAATCTCAGCCACGTGGATATCTCTGTTTCGCACCGGTCGTCATGTCTCGGTCTTTTTTAAGGCTTAAATACGGAGCGAGTGACGCACTCCACTTTTCGCCTCGTGTCCACTCTCTGCAACCACACGCCATCTTCAAACATCCAGACCTATATTCTCTACTCCCACTCACTTTCCTCCTCTCTCTCCTCTCCATATTCGATTCTCTCTATCTCTCTCTGTTTTTCTGCAATCGGCCATGGGAGACGACGGACATGTAAATGCTATGGAGGACGATGAAGCTTCTGCCGCCGAGCAACGCGGAGACATCGACATTTACCCTCTCAGAAACTACTTCTTTGGATCCAAAGAGGCTCTGCTTTTCAAGAACGAGGCCTTGGCTGATCGCGTCCAGAGGATGAATTCCAAGTATCTATTCTCCCTTTAATCTCTTCACTACACTGCCTGTTTTCTGTTTACGTCCTTCAATTTGTCTAATCTGTTTTCTCGCCTGATTCTTTTGCAGCTATGCCGCTTACGGATTGAGAACTTATGTCGGAGCAGTTTTGCTGGTTCGTTCCTTCTTCATTCACAATGCTTGTATTTTTGTTGCTTTAATTCACTTCTATTTCACCAATCTTTTGGTTCTTGCTTATCGATTTCTTTAAGCATCTAGAATTTCTTACTGGCTCTGTTGATCTCATTACTTTATTCCATTTTGGGAGAAATCTTCTCATTGAATCTGAATTCAGGAAGCTTTTCTGCTATAAAATTTATTAATGAACATTTCATCTTGCGATCAGAAACAGTGCTTAGTTGCTGAATTAGTTTTGAACCCGCTCGTTGTTTCTCATATTAGGTTGAACTATTTAAACATCCTCATTTGTTGCTATTGCGATTACGAAATTCAATTTTCAAGCTTCCTGGTGGTCGCCTAAGGCCTAATGAATCAGGTAACTGTGTGCTGTGAATCTATTCTGCAGCTGTGTTTGTGTAACATAGTTAAGCTGATGAATATTTGATCATGGTGGATGATCTCAATTTACAGATCTTGATGGTCTGAGACGAAAGCTGTCAAGCAAGCTATCTGCCATTGGAGCCTCTGATGCATCTGATTGGGAGGTACTGCAGTTTCCAAATCTGTTCATTTGATTTGAATGATTGAATTTGAAGTGCTCTTCTTTTAACGTTTAGATCGGCGAGTGCCTTGGGATGTGGTGGAGGCCTGACTTTGAAACCTTTGATCCACACTTGTCCAGTAATGTAAAAGGCGCCAAGGTAGTCATTGGGACACAGGCTACTTCCTTTAAGCCATGGCTTTTCCTGTAACTCACTCACTACCTGATGCAGGAGTGCACTAAACTCTTCCTGGTCAAGCTGCCGGAGAATCGAGAATTCTTCGTGCCAAAGAACCTCAAGTTGATAGCAGTTCCTTTATGCCAGATTCAAAAAAGCCATGAGGTATCCTTATCAACACACTTTATGGAAGTCCAATTTATCACGTTTGCAAATCTTAGTTTTTCCTTGAAAGATTGAAAGAAAAAGGAAAGACGGTTCAATTTTGTTGGGGAAATTCTTGAAATAAATCTCTATTGGGTTCATAGGGCATTAGGTCGGATTAGGATTTTTTAAAATGGAATAGTAAACTTTTTCAACTTAATCCATCTTTATTAGATATTGATCCTAACCCAACTAACTTGGTTTAGGTGGTTCTAGTTTAGATCATTTATTCTTTTTTTTTTTTTACTTAATTCTTAGAACATTGATTTTGAATTTAGATTTACAACTTAATTTCAATATATTTTTTGAATGAAAAATGAGAATGATGTGAAAATAGTTATGAAACTAAATAAAATTAAAATAAATATAGGTATATAATTGTATCATAAGTAAATTTTTAATGAACTTATTACCGGATCTAAATTGTATGAGTTGGGTTGAATTATTCGGTTTATTTGGGTCATTGATTTTTTTTTAAGCACTCTTAATTGTTGAATTATAGTAAGGTGCACTAGTCAACTACGTGTCAATTCTTTGATCTTGTAGACGTACGGGCCAGTCATATCGAGCATTCCACAGCTGCTTTCTAAGTTCTCCTTCAACATCATTGGAACCTAAGAATATTTATGAGTGCATTATAGAGGCGTGAGGTAAGTTTGTATGAATGTTTGAGAGATCCTTTTTAAAACATGCACATAGACGATGGTGATGGTTTTGTTAAGCATAAAGATAACAGTCATATAGTTCCCACATTGTTACTTCACAACTTGAGTTCTAAGGAATGCTAAAACTAGACGATTGCTTAAATTGCCAATTCTTGACTTTCTTATGCTTTGTTAAATGTGGCAAATATTTATGTGATCCTTATCCCATGAAAATACTTGTCGGCTTGTTAGGTTATATCAGTTTTAATTAGTAATATAACACTTTTACCATTCTTTTAATTTTTGTTAATTTGTAATAAACTTCTTAATTTTAACATTTAGCGATAATTTATTAGAACGTTAAAGTTGTTATACTCCTTAAAGTTTAGGGTTAAAAGAATGTGTGCAATTTAACAAAGATTTGAACTCTTGACTTCTTAGTTAATAATGCATGTTTTAACGGGGTCATGTTTAAACTATGAACAAGTTATATATCATATATATTTAGTCTGTTCTAAACTACTTAAATTGTTTTTTATTTTATTTAAATAAGAAATTAAATACAAGCTAACTAAACAAGCTACCCGGATTAATTGGGAGAATTTTTGAAGAACATTCATTCAATCCTAAACATTCATTCATTAATTCATGAGATTTTACCGTAACTATACACATCTGGAAGTAAACCGAAGTTTCAAATTTAGGAAGAGGAAAATGTCAGTCTTGACCTCCACTCTTGTATGGCAGAACGCAGAGTATAGTTAGGAATAAACATAGAATGCTGGAGCTTAAGCTTCGTCACAGGTGATACGTCGTATTTCTCGAGCCACGCTTTAATGGCTTCGTACTCGTAAGTAAAACCGTCGGCTGCTATATAAGGATCCTCCATTACTTCCTGTGTCAAACAAATACAACAGAGAAGAATATGAAGTTCACGCTTAAGCTGCTTATGAAGAACTGATGGTGTCTGTGTGTCTTAAACTCACCTGGAGGATTGGGCAGAAGTAGTGGCTTGGGGGATTGGCAGCACCTTTCTGAAACGTATCTGCAAAATCAACAAGCCTTTTAAGGACTGGAAGAACTTCGGTTTCAAGATCTGGCCTATCCCTGCATCTAAGCTTCAAGCACTTCAGTGCCAGTCCAGCTAGCTCCTCAGCTTCAGCTACAGGCCAGTCAGTAATCGACTTATCTAGAATATCTGCAAGCGAGGCGCTTGCGATGGAGTTCTCGACAGCCAGAAGAAGACCGTGTGGCTGCCGCCCGGTCAACAACTGCAGAATTGTTACTCCGAGCGCATACGTATCCGAATTCGGTCGGAGTGTGCCAGTTCTCTGATATTCAGGATCCATGTAATGCAGAGTCCCAGCAAGAATGGTGTTTCGATACTCCGTCACATTGTCAGGCACGATATCGCCGATGATCTTAGCCATTCCAACGTCTGAGATTTTGCTTACAAAGTTTCTATCAAGTAAGATATTACCCGGTTTGAGATCTCTGTGAATAATAGGCTCTGGCTTTGAATTGTGTAAGAGTGCAAGCCCAGACGCTACTTGAAACACTATTCTAAATCTAATAGACCACGGGAGGGGAGGTTTTCCATTTCGGAGCAAGATATGATCATCTAAGCTTCCATTTTCCATGTATTCGTAAATCAAGCAACCTCGCTCGGGGCAAGCTCCGAGCAGTAAAACCACGTGTGGATGACGTATCTGGCTCAGAATTTCAACCTGCAGAGATAATTTCAGCTGATACAATGGGGATCATCAATTGGATAAAAACCATGAAGAGTTAGAAAAATGATACCTCTTTCAGAAACTCGTCCTTGTTCTCGAATATGTCGTGTCGAAAGACCTTAATGGCTACCGGGGTATGATCGAGACTGCATACGTAGACTTTCCCATATCCGCCCTCACCGATCACGTTAACTTCATCGAAGAAATTCGTCGCAGCTTCTATTTCGGCTGTAGTATACCTTCTGTACCTCCTATCATTAGTCAGAAGAGTATCAACAATTTTCTTCTTCTCCAAGGACTCCTTTAAGGCATTAAGCTCAGCCAGCTGCCTCTCATAAGCTTCTTTAGCTAGTGAGTCCTTTGCCTCCTCAAGCTCCTTAATGGCTTCCAAGTGCTTTGCTTTCTCTTCAGCAGCCACTTTCCTCAAAGCTTGTTCCCTTTCCAAAGCAGCGTTCACTTTTCTTGATTCTTCAAGGCATTCGGATGTAAGTGACTGAACCTGCAAAACCAAGCACAAATAGGCATTTACATTATTTCTTTCAATTTCTGTGAAGACAACAGGAGGTGGAAGGGCGTTTCGGGAGCTTTGTTCCCGAGTGATTCTAAGCCTTAGTCAAAGAATTTAACGCCCCCGAATGATTCTAGGTGTTAGTCAAAGAATTTAAAGCCCCCAAGTGATTCTAGGCCTTAGTCAGAGAATTTAAAGTCTCCGAGTGATTCTAAGCCTCAGTCAAAGAATTTAAAGCCCCTGAATGATTCTAGGCCTTAATACGAGAATTGAAAGCCCCCGAATGATTCTAGGCGTTAGTCAAAAAATTTAAACCCCCGGATGATTGTAGGCCTTAGTCAAAGAATTTAAAGCCCCGAATGATTCTAGGCCTTAGTCAGAGAATTTAAAACTCCTGAATAATTCTAGGTCTTAGTCGGAGAATTTAAAGCCCTGGAATGATTCTAGGCCTTGGTCAGATAATTTAAAGCTCCCACGTGATTCTAGGCCTTAGTCAGAAAATTTAAAGTCCCCGAGTGATTCTAGGCCTTAGTCACTACAAAACAATGTATCCACGGGAAAAAGCTCGAGTAAAACAGTACTGAGCATGCCTTGACGACGTTATACCAAAACCAATATAATGATCAAGCTCTCACCTTCTTCTGAGCATGAACAAGTTCTTCACAAGCTTGTTTGTACAAGGAAACAGTACTCTCCAATTCTAGCTGCAGCGATTCAACTTCAGCCTGCATATCTTCCTACAATTCAGGAGCTTTTATTTAAGAACTCACGAAGCATCACCTCAAATGATGACGAAATTCGATCGAGATAGCAACAAAGCTCAAAACACAAAAACAAAAAACAAAAACCTCCTCAGTTAGAGTACTCAAAGAGTTCAATTGCTCGGTAGAATTAACTTCGAGGCTATCGCCCCTTCGATGAACATTCGACATGGAAGAAGAAGACAGCGTTCCAAATGATTTTTCGCTAACTGTACTCGAACCCCTATAGTAATCGGTATCACCGAGCATCCACTGCCTCGAGTCGGTTTCTACGAAGAACAATTACAAACATCATCTAGTGTTAAAACTACTGACAAGAGAACAGTGTTTTCAGCTAATTACCACTAGATGGAGCAGTAGTAGCCGTTCGTGTGATGACTCTTCTCCTATATATAACATAGACATCAAAACACCTAGAAGCAGCTCTCATAATAGCAGAGGGTACTGAATCCCCTTTCAGCCTCCTACCAATAATTATACCAAAAGTTAGCATCAAAATGAAATCAGTATGGAACCATCTTTGAAAACGACACATTCCGAGTCATGTAATGTAATAGCCCAAGCACACCGCTAGTAGATATTGTCCGCTTTAACCCATTACGTATCGTCGTCAGCCTCACAGTTTTAGAACACGTCTGTTAGGGAGAGGTTTCCACACCCTCGCAAGGATTGCTTTGTTCCCCTCTCCAATCAACATGGGATCTCACAATCCACCCCCTTGGGGGTCCAGCATCCTCGCTAGCACACCGCCTGGTGTCTGGATCTAATACCATTTGTAACAGGCCAAGCACACTGCTAGTAGATATTGTCCGCTTTAACCCGTTACATATCGCCGTCAGTCTCACGATTTTAAAACGCGTTTGTTAGGGAGAGGTTTCTACACTCTTATAAGGAATGCTTCGTTCCCTTCTCCAACAAATGTAGGATCTCACAATCCACCCCCTTGGGAGCCTAGCATCCTAGCTGACACACCGCCCGGTGTCTTACTCTGATATCATTTGTAACAGTACAAGCATACCGCTAGCAAATATTGTCTGCTTTAACCCATTAAGTATCGTTGTCACCCTCACAGTTTTAAAACGTATCTGTTAGGGAGAGGTTTCGACACCCTTATAAAGAATGCTTCGTTCTCCTCTCCAACCAACGTGGGATCTCTCAATCCACCCCCTTAGGGGCCCAGCATCCTCACTGGCACACTGCCCAGTGTCTGGCTCTAATACTATTTGTAACAGCCCGAGCACACTGCTTGCAGACATTGTCCGCTTTAACTCATTATGTATCGCCGTCAGCCGCACAGTTTTGAAACATATCTGTTAGGGAGAGGTTTCCACACCCTTATAAGGAATGTTTCGTTCTCCTCTCCAACAAACGTGGGATCTCACAATCCACCCCCTTAGGAGCCCAACATCCTCGCTAGCACACCGCCCAGTATCTGGCTCTAATAACATTTGTAACAGCCCAAGCACACTGTTAGCAGATATTGTCCACTTTAACCCATGACGTATCGTCGTCAACCTCATGGTTTGTAAAACACATATATTAGGGAGAGGTTTCCACACCCTTATAAAAAATGCTTCGTTCCCCTCTCCAACCAACCTGAGATCTCACATGTAAGTTATTATCTTACGAATCAAATAAAGTGAAAAGAGTTCAAAACATCATATAAACTTCCATGTCTATGCATATTTCTACGAATGAATTTGAATTTATACTCCAAGATCTTCGGAAGAACAGTAAAAATGACACAGATATCAGCACAAAATACGTTCATATAGCCAAATACCTCGCTATGCAAGTCCTAAAACAAGAACCCAGAACCAAGTGTTTAATCCCAGATTCAGTTGCATATCTCATAAGTGCAGTGGCAGGATTATCATCCTCCAGAATCAAAGTTTCAACCAGTAGAAGAAACTGCAAAACAAATACCCATTTCAATTCACCATGAATTTAGGGCTAAATTTTTTTAAAAACCGGTTGAAATCACCTTCTCTCTTCTACACATCTTCTTGAAAGGAACAAAAATTTGTTCATACTTCTGTTTCACATCATGAACATAAAGCGCTACTACATCAGCGTCAAGCTCCGAGACCGCCACAAGATCCCCCACTGTAAAACAAACACCACAAACTCAAGCATCAAGAAATTGAGGGATCGGCTTACGCTGTTTGAGACAGGAAATTTTTAGGCACTTACTTGGGGTGGGGATGGAGGTGATTTTGGGCATAACATGAACCAATATGAACCGATCGGCGGTCGGCAACAGATTCTCCACAGCCCATCTGACGGCGCGGCGGCTTCCGCCACCGCCTTTGCCGCCGCGAACGCCGTTAATGGCAACCGCCACTGATGTCATTGCCTTGGAAACACCACCATTTGGTTCTATTTTTCCTTCTTTTTGAGTTTACTTTTCATTTTCAATTCTGTAATTCAATTGGGTCGCCGTCGTTCTTGGCATGCGATGACTTGATCATTGACTTTGGGGTTTGGATGATAATTTTGTTCTTGCCAGATTCCGAATTTACCCTTTAGTCTTATTTATTTATTATTAATTTTGATTATTACAAATAAAAATAATTAACACCACAAATTATTTTGTTATTATTATTTGAAATGTGGTAATTGTTTTTATTGTAATTATTATTATCAATTATGGTAGTGTGGGTATTGCCGTAGTTAGTAGCTACCATAATTTTTATTAATTATAATAGAGCATTAAACATAAATAAATACAGCATCAATTACGTAAGAATTAGGGTAAATATCAATTTATGTCTCTTAAATTTTATCGGTTTTATTAATTAAAATTCAAAATCAATAATTTTTTTTTTATAAAATGATTAAAATCCCAGAAAAATAATTGCAATTCTTTCTAAATAAATAATAGAGAAAGATAAATAAATAGCTGAAAAAGATACAATTCAATAAAGGTTAAATTTGGTATTTCATTAAATCTAACGGTGTTTGTATTTGAGTTGTAGCCTGTAGGCGGTCGCATTCCTTTCCTTCCCGCCAGTCGAGAGTGGCAAAAGCCAAAAGGCTGCCCTGCCCGGCTGCCCTGCCCGGCTGCCCTGCCCGGCTGCCCCAGTGGGTTTATTATTTTAATTAATCGTGCCTCAGCAAAACGAATCGTTTTACATGGATAAGGTACGTTCTTGGAGGGACTTTGAACCAATAATGTGCCACCACGTGTCATTGGCGGATGGCCGTTTGCAAGTCAGCGAATAAAACACCACCATTTAATTTCCCTCCCTATCCCACGAGTTACAACATTGGAGGTTGAGCGAAGTAGACAAGAGTTCGAGAACGAGCGAGGCAACGGAAATCGCAATCTCATTCTCTTCAATCCCGTTCCTGTTTTGCCTTTGATTCTTCTCTCTTCTCAACCAATTGGAGCTCTATTAATGGCGTAGATGCTTGCTTCTTCAAGAAAACTCGATAAGAAAACTCAACAATGAAGTGTATGGGACTCGCTGCTCGGAATTTTGCAGCAATGGCAGCTTCTAATAGCCCTAGCTTAGCTTCAACGGGAACAAGAAGATTCCGGTTGTTTTGTAGAAAAGAAAGCCGTCAGTTCAGTTTGCGTCGGCGTTCGATGCTTGTTATGGCCGGTGCCGGAAGTGAGAGTTGCACTGCAGTCAGAGAAGGATTTGCAGACGATGAAGATTACATTAAGGGCGGTGGCTCTGAGCTTCTGTTTGTTCAAATGCAACAGAACAAGACGATGGAGATGCAGTCCAAGCTCGCAGACGTGGTTCGGCTATCTCTACCCATTCTTCTTACTTTTTCATCGCTGACTTTTTTACTATTTTCGTCACCATAGCGTTGATGTAGATATTAACTTCGTAGTTTGTCAAAAAAATTAATTAAATGCTCTAATTCCTCTGAACTTTTTTTATACTTGTAATTGGGATTGGTGCCACTATAATTTAATATGCTTGCGCTCTTAAAAGTCTATACTCCCTGCAATCTTGCATAAATTAATTGACTAAATCCACCCTGATTTCAAAGCTTAAGCATATGGGAGTTTGAAGGACTTAATATTATATCTTTTGGCCTCTATGGCTCGATTAAATTATGTAATTATATCTGAGGCGGTAGGTTCAATGGAATTAATGTCTCTATGGCACATGGTAATACGCCTTGATACTCTCCGTTTTCCTGCATTGGGCTACTACTCGTGACTAATGTTTAAGTTTCTTTTTCCTACGCTTTATTTTTCTTTATTCTATTGTATAAATTTGAGGATTGAATTGATATTGTTGGATTTGAAGCTTATTGTCAATTATAAATGAATTTCTGGATTTCTGGAAGCACATTACATGTTCCTCCATTTACTTCAAATAGACATTTATTTTTTATGAAAAAAATGGTTCAATTGTATCTTCGTATGATCGTGATTCCGGTAATGAGTATCATTCTAACAGGCGTTTCAATTTTGAGTATGTGTTAAACCCCTTTTATTATTGTTTCAGCTACCGCCAATATCAATTGGAAACGACGTATTGGACTTGGTGGTTATTGGTTGTGGTCCTGCTGGTCTTGCTCTGGCTGCGGAATCGGCTGCTTTGGGATTAAAAGTTGGACTCATTGGTCCAGATCTACCTTTTACAAATAACTATGGCGTGTGGGAAGATGAATTCAATGGTATGTTGATGCATCCTACCCAATGTTTCAGCAACATTTCAGACTGCCCTCGTCTTAGTTCAGTTTTAAACTATACTCATAATAACTAAGAAGAAATTATATCCAAAATTCATCCCATCATGCTATAGAATATATTTCTCCTTTTTGTTCTTAAATAGATCATTAAATCCATCCTAAAAGTTTCTAAGTTATTATACTCTTCTAATATATTATTAAATCAAGCTGAAAAACTTATGTTGATAGGTTAAGCTTAAAAACTTCAGTTCATAAGTTAAAGTAGATTTTGAATAGTCATATTTAAAACTAATATCCTGAGAAGGAAATGACACAGTATACTACTGTTTCTTAACGTATTAAGGTTATGCCGTCTGTTGAGTCCAACCTCCACTTTCGTCTAAACTCTATTTTTCAACCTTACAGATCTTGGGCTTGAAGGGTGTATAGAACATGTATGGCCGGATACAGTCATATATCTTGATGACAAGGATCCTGTTCTTATTGGCCGTGCATATGGACGTGTTAGCAGGCATTTGCTCCACGAGGAGCTGCTTAAAAAGTATGATAAAGTGATTTTTTGTACAACGACTAATTTATACATTTGAATTTTATATAATGTATCAATTCATATAGGTGTACCAAGTCAGGTGTTTCATATCTCAACTCCAGAGTGGACAGCATTGTTGAAACTACCACTGGCCATAGCCTTGTAGCCTGTGAACATGATATTTTTGTCCCGTGCAGGTAAAATGGATTCTCTTATTTACACACTGTTAGCCTCAATGTGAAGTATTTTAGGTCGCTTATTAACTATTTGTTCTTTCTTCAAATATTTAAATTTGTTTTGTAGACTCGCAACAGTTGCATCAGGAGCAGCTTCAGGTAAATTGCTGCAGTATGAGGTTGGTGGGCCAAAGGTGTCTGTCCAAACAGCTTACGGTGTGGAGGTTGAGGTAGGAAGGAGAATTCCTCTGTTTTTTCTTCTTTCTTTTCTTCCTACAGACGACTTATATAAGATCTTAGAATGTTGTTGAAATGGATTACTATATGATAGTCACCACTGAGTTTGCAAATCATCATTGAAATACCGTATGGAAACTCTTGGATAGTTTGTTACTTCGAGACATCTTTAAGAATATATACAATATTAAATATATTATAACTTATTAGTTTAAACTTTTAAGTTTATTGGTAATTTAACTTTGTATCAAAGTAAGAATTTGTGAGTTTGAACTCTTGGAAATTGATATTAATATCAAGTTTACGAAACCTTCGTTTGTAATTCTCGATATTGCTCTCCAGAGTTATTTCCTTAACAAAATAATGTTCTGTTCTTACACGGAATTTTGTTCTGTGTTGATAACCATTCACGTCCATCTTTTTGACCATTTCAGGTGGAAAACAATCCTTACGATCCAAGTCTTATGGTTTTTATGGACTACAGGAACCACGCAAAACAAGACAATTCATCTTTAGAAGCACAATATCCTACATTTCTGTACGCCATGCCCATGTCTCCGACAAAAGTTTTCTTCGAGGTCTGTGCCATTGTTATTGGTTTATCTTCATACTTTATTTTTCTCATAATCATGTATGAATTCACTTGGAGATTTAAAATTTGCAGGAAACTTGCTTAGCTTCAAAAGAAGCTATGCCATTTGATCTCTTAAAGAAAAAACTTATGTCAAGATTAAAGACTATGGGGATCCGAATTGTGAAAACATATGAGGAGGTACTCTTTGCGAATGATGTTTATTGCCTTTATAGCGAGTTACTCCTTACCATGTTACCATTTGTTCAATACGTCCTTACATCTCTTTCAGAAGAGTACATGAGATGGTTGTTCGTGTGTATGTCTGTTTTTCCCCCGCTTTCTTTCTTCCATTTAGTAATCAGTCGACTAGGAGGTATTGCTATGTGAAGTAGATACGAAACGAACACCTTTCCAAATAAGATAGAAGATGCAGAGGAAATTGAGGTTTCATTCTCAACCTTCCTTATCAGTACTTTCTTATCTGAAAGCTGTGGATTTCACCCTTTTCTTGTGGCTTTGTGTATTTTATTCTTATTGGTGCATGTTCACATATCATTAACATGAACGATGCTTTTGCATTACTTGAGGTCATTTGTCGGACATCGAATTGGTGTAGTGTAGTTATACTCTTTATTTGTTCTGCTTTTTAGTGGACCAACTAGGACTTGGTAAATTTCCACACCTATTGATGGATGGGGTAAAGATCATTACTTTGTGACGTAATCAGTTGTTTACAAATCTGATTTCCTCAGAATTATGCATGGCATGAAACTTTCCTCTTTCATTAAATTCCAATATTTTGTTGCTTATCATATATGCTATCAGTTCTCTTGCATTTCAAATCATTGTACACCTGGTTATTCTTGACAGTTCTTATTAAACCAGTAAAAGAGTGAAAAGGACATAATCTTCCATGTAGGAATGGTCTTATATTCCAGTTGGTGGTTCCTTGCCAAACACAGAGCAGAAAAACCTTGCATTTGGTGCAGCTGCCAGCATGGTGCATCCAGCCACAGGTATTCAAAAAGCGAGCTGAACATCTATGTTGTTGAATTATCAATCTAAGAAGTCTTATACACTTCGTTCTCATCAAGCAGGTTATTCAGTTGTTAGATCTCTGTCTGAAGCTCCAAAATATGCTTCTGTTATTGCAAAAGTTTTGAAGCAAGGACAGCTAAAGGATGGTCTTGCTAGCGGAAGAAGCTATGGGAATATCTCAATGCAGGGTGAGCCAGTTTTTGTGTTTAGAGCTTTTTCAAGGAGACTATTTTCCTCTGTCTACTATCTTGCAAGTATTTTTCAATGTTTATTGATTTATCTGTTATTCCAGCTTGGAACACGCTTTGGCCACAAGAAAGGAAGCGCCAGAGAGCATTTTTTCTGTTTGGGCTTGCACTGATTGTTCAACTGGACATTGAGGGCATTCGTACATTTTTCCGGACTTTCTTCCAATTGCCAGATTGGTACGATCAATTTCCTCTTATTTGCTTATGTAGTCTGAAATTTTGGTGCTTTGACAGTAATAGCCTGGTACTTTAGATTGTAGGATGCTATACATAAATAAATCAATGTAGAGCCAAATTAAGAAAGTATCTGTTACTCAACATGGAGGTTGCATGTACATTTGTATTCTTTTGTAGGCTTAACCTTATTCTAATTGAAAGCCAGAATGTTTTACCGGATTAATTACCTTTGTTAATCAATTATGTTTTAGACTAGCGGCTGACGTTGGGATGAAGAGTCTTCTATAAGTGCAATTATATTTCAATTTTACTAGGGCAATGAAGCTTCACAAGCTTCCCATTTATCTTCTACAACAGTATGATATTGCATACTCTATGTCAAGTCCATGTAGTTTTATTTTTAATCAAATCTAAAAGGCTATTCTAAGGTCTCACTCAAATAGAAAAGTTGCCTGATCCCCCTCACTTCTAACATGACATGAACCCTACCCACATTCCCAACAGAAGCCATAAGATACAAATTCTTTGAAGGCCTGTTATCATGTTCCGGAAACCTTAAACTCTTTAATAGCGTAGTTGTAGTAATTAAATTTACCATAATCTATCAGCTTAACCTTTTTGATTCATGGGTGATTTAACATGCCACAAGTTTCAACTTATTATAACCCATCAACTTAAACTTTTAGGTTCATTAGTGATTTAGTACTGATCATGAGGTGTTGTTTATTGGTTTATTATTATTTTATTTTAATTTGTGGGGTGGGGTGGGTTTGAATTCCTTAACATGTACTTGCCAGAGATTAGATAAATGGATGATTTGCTGGATTCTTAATGTTTGTAGCAAAAGAAGTGAACGTCAGCTTGTATGTGTATACTCATAATTGTTCTTAAGTTGCAGGATGTGGCAGGGATTTCTTGGGTCTACATTGTCTTCAGCAGACCTCGCACTTTTTGCGTTGTATATGTTCGTCATTGCTCCAAATGACCTAAGAATGTGCCTCGTGAAACATCTTGTTTCTGATCCCACTGGAGCAAACATGATACGAACATATCTCACAGTAGCTTGAATTGAATTTTCCCCTTCCAACATCTTCTTCCTGTTATGTAAGAACAATGTGTAGAATTACGCGAGCGGCCTGCCCTGAGAGGTATTTCTCCTCCCTTTTGTATGTTTGTTACTGGACATTGTTATTGTGTAGTGTACATATTCAGTAATCTCTTCCATCTCTGCTCTTAATTTCCATCTTATCCCAGTAATTATAGTATCTGCCCCCTTCCCCTTTCTTCAGGTATAGATTCAAATCTGATTAGGGGAAGAGCATGTATAAAACTATATATCTTACCCTACTAGACGGTATGAATGAATGGTCTCATTCCTTTCGTCTAGTTTATTTGCCAAGAACCAGATTTGAACCGACACGAGGATTTTCAGACCTCTACTCTACCAACTGAGCTGGTCAAAATATGCGGAATTTCTTACTTGTCACGGAGGATTAGATCCAGTTACCGGGAGTCTATGGTTAACCGATATTGCACACCATCATTTAGCTATTGCAATTCTATGCCTAACAGCAGGTCACATGTATAGGACCAACTAGGTCATTGGTTGTGGCATATTTTAGAGGCTTATAAAGGTCGAATTTTTAAAAGCACTAAAAAAAACCGCGAGAACTTAGTGTCGAAGGAAAATGTCAAATATGATATATATATATATTTAGACAGTGAATAGACTTCATCAATTGGTTATATTTTATTTATTGCTTATCACTTCTAATATTCAAAAAAAAAAAAAATTATACTTTCTTTTGGCAAACCTATAGTCTAAAACAAAATAATTTATTTTTAATTCCAACGTGTGAATAGAGAAGTTCAACCTTCCCTAAACAGAATTATTTAAAATAATCACAATATTTTATTAGAGTCATTTATTATATATGAATAATTTTGTAACATATAATTTAGGCACATAGGTTTATAGATAAACACAGAATAATTCGTTTTATTATTAAATAATGAGATAAATCAACTAAAATCTTATCACTTATATTTTACCATAACTAAGTATTGGTTAAGATATGTTACTAATTTTAAGAACTCACAAATTCAAATCATCATTAATATTCTTAAACCATAATAATAATAAAACTAAATATGTGGAATTTATTATTATTATTATTATTATTTTTAGTATAAAAGTGTGAAAGTTACCAACATAGGATAAAGGTATTATTTATTTGTAACTGTCATGGAATAGGTAGGCTCACATCAATTCAAATGGAAATTAGAGAGAAAAAAGAAATCCAACCGTATTAGAACAGATCAAATCAAACTTAGGCAAATGTATAAATATATAAGCTTTGCAATAAATAAGAGAGAGAAAGTTTAAGCTCATTAAATAAGTCACCTCAATTTTATTTATGGTTATTTTTTAAAATAATAATAATTTATGTCTAAACTCTTGTATATAATTTTTTTCATCCAGCTCGAATCAATTTAAGTTGATTTAGTAAGAGATCTTTGACCAATTTTTATTTAAAAAAAAAATCATATGTTAAGAATATAATATAAATTTATAAATATTAATTTGTTATAAGTCAAAAAAAGGATAATGATTATATGTTTGAGGGACAAAATTGAAGAAGGTAAGTAATAATATATTTTTTTTTTATGAAGTTATAAATGACATTATACTTTGCGTTATTTAATTGATGAGTATATTATATGATAAATATGTGAGGGTCAATTATATTTTGTAATAAATAAAATAATAGAAATAAACGGTTTGAAAATCACCCATCTTTACCAGAAATGAAAGAGAGTGAGACCACGTTGCGAATTTGTGAAGTCTGGCATCTGGAAGTTTTGGACATTTGTCTGTTCGATTTTAACCCGCCATTTGCATCTTAATTGCTCTCTTTGGAATGTGAAATTCTCTCTATTCTTCTCCTTCCTCCTATTTTCGAACTTCCTCGGGGATTCCTCTTCCCACGCCCTTCACATCTTCACCGCCTCCTAACGTCGACTTCACCGACTATGTAAGCTCTCTCGCTCTCTCTCTCTCTCTCTCTCCAACTCTTTCTCTGTCTATTGTTTATGCGCGCTTGATTCGTTTTGTAATCTCTGTTCGTCTCTTTCATCCAGCTCTCTGTTGTGCCTTATCTTTTCGGAATTTCTCGCTTATTTCGTCTATTCTTGCTCTGTTCGCTTCTTTGATGGCGATCGCCGACATGCTTGAGAGTACTACCCCCTCGGAAAGCTCTTTAAGCGACTTGGATGCCAGCCGTTTCCTCCGTAGGAGACCGGGTGCTACCACCGCTGGAGTGGAGTCCGAGACAAATTTGAGACCAAACGTTCGTGGAACGGATTCTTCGCCTCCAGATCATGCAGGTGCTAATGGTTTATCGGCTGCCAAGAGATGTGAGGAGGATATAGATCGAAATTACGCGGCTCAAAATCCGAATCTAACGGAAACGGCGAAGGATCCTGGTGACAAGGCCGAGAGTCGAGGCAACGCCAAGTTTGATGTTTCCTCTGTGATTTTTGCTTATCGGCCTTCTGCGCCGGCTCATAAGCGAGTAACGGAAAGTCCTCTAAGCTCTGATGCGATATTCCGACAGGTAGGTGCAAATTCTTGGTTTATTTTAGCTTCTATACAATTGAACTCACCATTGCATCGCATGTATATCCGTTCTTCCTCTTAGTCTATCATAAGTAGGTTTAAGCAGTATTGCTGGAATTATTTAACAGCTATCCAAAGTTGATTATCCGTTTCCAAGTGAAATCGTGCTTAGGCCGACTGCTGGTCGAAGGAATTTTTTCTGTAGTCGAATAATTTGTTCAAGTTATCATGAATTGTTATGAGTACACCATACTCTCAGGAACTGTGGTCAACATGCCGTGTTATTTCTGGCCTAAGTTCTTATATCAGATCTGATGGTTGATGAATATATAATGCTGACCATTTTATTACCTTAAATGGCAGAGCCACGCAGGTCTGTTCAACCTCTGTATAGTTGTGCTTGTTGCGGTAAACAGCAGGCTAATCATTGAGAATCTTATGAAGGTGTGCCTCCTCTTTACTCTGTTCTTGTAGCCTTGACTCACAACAATGTAGAGGAAGTGAAATTCGCTCGTTGTCATTCCTTACATTTTCTTCCGTTGTTTTTCATTTAGTCAATTCTGGAAGAGTTACATCTCTTAGGTTTAATGTAATTTCTCTTTTCCGTTACTTTCTGCAGTATGGCTTGTTAATTCAAACTGGTTTTTGGTTTAGTTCAAGATCCTTGCGAGACTGGCCACTTCTAATGTGTTGGTAAATTCTCTATTGTTTCTTTTGCTAGTAAACTAAGATACACAAGCTATTAGTGTATGTATTTCAAATTATTATCTGACGTTAGGCAATGCCTTCCTCTTGCAGCCTTTCTCTCCCTGTATTCCCCCTTTCAGCTTTTCTTGTTGAGAAGTTGGCTTTACAGAAATATATATCTGAGCCTGTACGTTTTCTTGGTTAACTCTATGGGAAATGCTCCTTTTCTTTTCTTTCCTTTACTTTTTTAGGATAATTGTTTCTTTGGATGGATTCTGACCTTATATTTGATAGTTAGATGCTTACTGGCTGAAATTGTAAATGCAGGTTATTGTTTTCCTACATATTATCATTACAACTGCTACAGTTCTGTATCCAGTACTTATGATTCTCAGGTCAGTTATGGTTTACTTGGCACATTTGGTAATTCACTAGGAGGATTATCCGCTGAATAAGAATGATGTTAAGATAATTTCTGATTATCATTTAGCTACACGTTCTAGCTTTCAACTATGCATGAAGATGGAAAAACCTGCTCCTGCTTTATATTAAAATTTCACTATCTATTATATAATTAGGAAGGGCGCGTTAGCATTAAATTTCGAAGGAGCCTTCGATGTTGGACACTATTATTTCTTAATCTCTAGAATTGTATTTGTATTCATAGTATTCCATTCAAGTCTCCTCTGCTTTCTAGATATTCTGGAGTACGTAATCTACTGTTTATATATGGGCATGATACTAGATTCTATGATCTTAACTGAAAGTACATGATAGAAATTTGAAGGCTAAGTCGCGAAGTGTACAATTTGATTTTATGACTTCAAAATGGGCAGGTTTGACTCTGCTGTTTTATCTGGTGTAACTTTGATGGCCTTTGCATCAATTACCTGGTTGAAATTGGTTTCATATGCCCATACAAATCATGACATGAGAAAAATTTCCAGATCAGTTAATCAGGTAACAATCTGATTTCCCTTCACACATAGGTCCTTGAACGAAGTTTTTTTTTTTTTTTTTTTTTTT